GTAATTATCAAAAAATCTTAACTGGATCAAATCCAATATAATGAGAGTAGAAGTAGATGATTAATTTTGTCAAAGGCTTTACTAAAATCAAGAAGAATCATAAGGGATAATTTATTGGAATCAGTAGCATTAACAATATCATCAATAATATTTGATAGGGCTGTAGTACAACTATAACCTGGCCGAAATCCGGATTGATTTACGGGAAGATTATTGTTATTTTGAAGATGCACACGTATTTGAGAATTTACAATTTTTTCAAGTATCTTAGATGTAACAGAAAGAATGCTTATTGGGCGTAAGTCTTTAAGATCTGTAGGATCCGTAACTTTTGCTATAGGGATAATATGAGCCTCTTTCCAGGAATCTGGAAATGTACCATATTCCAAACCAAAATTACATATGTGCGTTAAATAATCTAAAATTTTAGGACATAATAATAATAAAAAATCAATTCTTATCTTATCAGGACCTACAGATTTAGACTTAATTGTCGTTAGTGTTGAAAATATTTCTTTTTTAGAAACCAATTTAAAACTAAAGTTATTTATTCCATCTAGAGTTGAATTATAAAACCTATGTATGCATTCAAAATCCACCGGGTGATTGCTCCTACTAGATTCTATAAAATAATCGTTAAAATCATTAACGTTACCCAAGGCTTCTGGAATAGTGTTTTGCTTGTTTTTAGAAAGCATATTTAGCTCCTTTAGCCTTTTCCACGTGTTATTATTGTGATTTCTATTATTTATCGTAAAATCAAGATAAGCCCTTTTTTCGCGGTTAATTGCAGAGTTTACTTCGTTCCTGAGTTGTTTGTAATAAGTATAACTTGCCTCACTTTTAGTTTTTTTATATTTGAGAAGAGCTTTATTACGAATGTTAATCATTAGTTTAATTGTATCAGTTAACCATGGGGCTTTCTTCTTCCTAATACAAATTGTTTTAATTGGAGCATGGATATTGAACAAACTAATAGTTAAAGAGTTAAATAGGTTAACTTTATCATTTATGTTTTGAAAAAACAGAATATCCCAATATGGCAGAATGTCAAAGTCAGACAACAAAAGGTCTTTGTCCAGATTAGAAAAGTCCCTAAACGTATATAAAAAAGGATCCAACTTTGGTTTAACTTTACCTAGAGAGCAAGATACAAGTTTTTGATCTGAGATATTGGATATATCGGTGACTTTAATATTAGAGGAATTAAGGTTGTTAGAAATAATAATGTAATCAAGAAGGGTACAAGTACTATTTGTTACCCTTGTTGGCTGGTTAATTATTTGTTTTAAGTTGAAGCATTCTAAAATATTGTTAAGCCTAGTGGTATGGCTGTCAATCTGCAAGAAATTAATATTAGTCACCGGTACACACTACTTGATCATAACCAGCACCCAAACCTGCTAGATTTTCTTCTAAGGTATCAAGGAAAACAGCAACATCCTGGTTGGGGGGTATATAAAGTACACCTATGGCAAATTTAACATTATTTAAATATACCTCCAACCATAATTGCTCTACCTCACTTGCATTAAGCGTAATTATGTTGCAACGTAATTTACTTAATAAATGTAACTTAACTTAACTTAAGAAACCTACGTCTGTTAAGTTGTCTGTTTACATCAACTTAATACACGCAAAGAACGTAATATACAAGCACGCGCAATGTATACATCGATGTAGACTGAGTGCCTATCTATCTATAAAAGTGAAACAACATATATCGCTTTACTGGGCATGTGATTGGCTCACGTAAGAAACGTATTCCCTTAAGTAAAACCGGACCCAACTTTTGAATACGTTAAGTTACGTGTGATAAGTTTTCTACGAATGTAAACAGCTGCATTGGTTTCAGTATATTTCAAATAACGTCTCTCACGTAAGTTAAGTTAAGTTATGCTTATTAAGTGGATGTGAATGAGCTTTAAATCTATGCATTTAAAGACATAAACAAAAACAACCTGTACATTGTACAGGTGTATGAGTCATTTATACCTCTAAATAAATAAATAAATAAATAAATAAAAATTTGAAAATTCCCGATGTACGGGTCTGTACGGGTGTACCGAGAATAATGGCTAATGGGGCCCAATAAAATTGAAAAAAATCATGCCCTTTAAAAACAATATATTTATCTAAAAAAGTCGATTATCCAAAATTCGACAATTTGAATGAAAATGCTGTTACACTAATAATTTTTGTCCGATTTCAATGAAATTTACTGAATTTGTAGAATAATATATAGGTATATCTGCCTTATTGTATTTAAATTTAAGCCATTAAAAAATGGTAAAATGCCACTTCAATCAACAGCGCTTGTCAATTTAGTACTTACCAATGGTAACTTACCATCACTTTCGCTAATAGTGCGTGTACGATTGTTAAAAACTACTGTTGTTCGCATAATTTATTAAGTACAACTAATAATTTTGACATGTGTAGTCGATTTAAGGTAGTTGTCGTGCTGTAGGCATACCATCAGAAAATTTTAAATTTTTGTATACTTATTAAGGACATGACAATACAATTATCTTTAAAATTTGAAGTCGTTGACCGTCTATAACCCGAGATAAATTCAATTAAAAATTGAATAATTAACATGGATTGTATACATTTTTTGTAGTTCTGTACCAGTTTCTTAGTTATAAAAAAAACTAACTGTCAGAAGCTTTAAAAAAACTAAGTCTTTTAATGTATTTTTGCTTTTTGAGTAAAAAAAATTTAAAAAAAATTTTGACCGTCCAATTGTTTATAATTAACCGTTTAAAGTTCAACAATTTGTAAAAAGTATACATACTAGTGAGTCAGATAAAAACAACTTGGCAACGCTGTACCCTAGTATAGATATTATTTGCGCAGTAAATTCAAATATACTGATTCAGTCTCCAATATATATATTGGTTGCGCATAAGCGACGTTACCGGATTAAAACTAAAAATATGTGAAAGTATTACGTATAGGTAACGTCTCCAAGGGTACAGTCTTGCGAAAAAAATTATGAATCACTTAGCTACAAGCTCGTATACTTTTACGGTGCGTATAATCTAAAAATTTTTGACAATATTGTACCACGACAACTACCTTAAGTGAGATTTTGCCAATTTTTATATTTAATTATTTATACACTACGATATCTAGATAAAGCTAAATTTCATAACCCCGAAATTTAATTTTAATATAATTTTGTCATTTTTTGTTGTCATTAACGAAATTAAAATATTCAGGCCCTTATACAGGGTGATTCCTAACATATACGCCTGAACTTGAGAAATAATGACTAATAACACTGTGCGACAAATTTTGACCTTACAATTTGAACTGGGATGAAATGTGGAAAAATCGAATCTATGCAACCCCCAAAACTAATCTTTAAAGGGGGTTTGCTAGTTTAGCTCGAATAATGGAGATATACAGGGTGTTTCTTTTAACTTGAGACAGCTCAATATCTCGAGAAATACGCATTTCACGGAAAAATGTCTTAAATAAAAGGTTAATGTGACCAAAGGGGACATTATTTGGTGCTACCGCTAGCCACCCCCTACCCCTCCTTAAGGGTGAAACGGGGGGTAACTTTGGAAAGTCAAATGGAATGACCCGATTTTTTTCACAGAGTTTGGTAGTACATAAAAAAATGAATAACTTTTATTTGAAAGTTTTTTTCAATTTATCAACAGATGGCGCTGTAATTCAAAATTTAAGAAAAAGGGGTTTCCTTGTAAAATGTATTATTTGAAACGTTTGAAAAACAAAAATTAACATTAAATCAACATTTGTTATAAATTGTTCATAGCCGACTATTGCTGTTAATGTTAATTTTTGTTTTTCAAACGTTTCAAATAATACATTTTACAAGGAAACTCATTTTTCTTAAATTTTGAATTACAGCGCCATCTGTTGATAAATTGAAAAAAGTTTTAAATAAAAGTTATTTATTTTTTTATGTACTACCAAACTCTGTGAAAAAAATCGGGTCATTCCGTTTGACTTTCCAAAGTTACCCCCCGTTTTACCCTTAAGGAGGGGTAGGGGGTGGCTAGCGGTAGCACCAAATAATGTCCCCTTTAGTCACATTAACCTTTTATTTAAGACATTTTTCCGTGAAATGCGTATTTCTCGAGATATTGAGCTGTCTCAAGTTAAAAGAAACACCCTGTACATATATATATATGTATATCTCCATTATTCGAGCTAAACTGGTAAAACCCCTTAAAGGATTTTTTTTGGGGGTTGCCTAGATTCGATTTTTTCAGATTTGATCCCAGTTCATTTTTTGTGTTGCACAGTGTAATGAAAGGAAAGTAGTAAAACATTTTTATTTACGCTGATAACAACTTATTACTAATAAAAATAAAAAAAACGTAAATTTCATAAAATGTAAAATGCATTTAATTTATTATAGTAACTGATGACTAATAATGAAAAAAAAATTAGTAAAACCTTTTTAGTTACGGTGAAAATAAACTCGAATACGACCACAACTGATAACACTGCCAGAAATACCAAACATTTGTATAAATCTACTGCGAAGCTTTTTCCCTTGATTTTAAGTGACTTGCCGAAAATTTGTCAAACCAACATTACCCAAAACAAAACTACACTGTCTATTAATTAACAACAATGCCTTAACAATATATACAAATTGACACTCTTCACTCGTCACTATGCAACAACAAATTTTTTATAAAAATATGTTACTAATTTTTTTTCATTATAATAACTAACAATTATTGTTAGTAAAGATTAAGACTCAACCTGTTTAAATAGTAGGTATTTTTTTCAAATATGGTATAACTAGATACCTAATATAAAAAGTTTAAAACTTCTAAAAAACTATATGGTTTTTCTGTAGTTTTTAATTATTATTATATTATATTTTAATTGTATTTATTATTATTTACCTACTTACATGTAAATAATTATTTTAAAATTTAGTTAAATATACGTTTTAATTTATTTACTCCCTTAAATATTTAGACCGTTTCTATTTAATTAATTCTTACCTCTTTGTTGTCTTCCAAATTCATTTTTGTAAAGGTGATAGGTGCGAGCGTGACACAGTAAAATCGTTTTGCCGCACAGATAATCCCCGATGCCTGGGGACAAAATATTTGGAGCATTGTTTCCCTTTCCGTAAGTATCCTCGCATATACTGGAAGGTTCGTTAATAGTAATCCACTTTTTAACACGATCTCCAAAGTTCTCGAATACCACTCTGGCGTAATCCTCGAAGTAGACCGAGATCTGAGGATTTGTCCAGCCGCCCAAATCCTGAATTGGTTGCGGCAAATCCCAATGGAAAATCGTCACCATCGGTTCGATGTTGTTCTTCAGTAGTTCGTCTATAATGTCGTTGTAATATTTGATGCCATCAGGGTTGATTTTGTTGGTGAAGCCTGTCGGCATAATTCGCGACCAGGATATTGAGAATCTGTAGAATTCGACACCGACCGTTTTAAGGATGTCTATATCTTCCTTCCATTTGTGGTAGGAATCACAGGCTATGTCGCCAGTACTATGATCCGCTATCAGTTCTGGATGGGTGTGTGTGAGACGATCCCAAATATTTTCACCTTTTCCTTGTGTTAAAAAATAATAATTTAGTCAAAATTCAATATACATTAGGGTGTTTCAAAAAAACCTTTTTTTTGTTTTTTTTTCTCGGCACCACGCTCAAAGTTTCGTATAGATATATAAATGAGCCTGTGAAAAAATGAGCTCTTAACTTCAAAATTAAGATGCTCCGCATCGCACTTTTCGTTTTTCCATAAGAATAACATGGGAAAAATTATTTTTGTTTCTTTTTATTTTTGTAACTAACGAACAATAGGTCGGACTGTAAAATTCTTGACATATTTTTGTAGAGAATTGAACGCTCTACAAAAAAGGTTTTTTTTTGATTTTTTAATAAATTTGATCCTTCTAAAGAAATTTAAGGTCAAAGTTCAAATTATACGAAATTTTACCCGACTCATTTAAAAAATTTTGAAATATTTTTGTAGAGAATTGAACGCTCTACAAAAAAGGTCTAAAGTCATTGTTCGGTAAGTTAACTTGGTTAAAAGTTATTCAAGGTAAAAGTGAAATTAACCGTCAATTTAGTCGTTTTCTCGAATTTTTTCTGGATTTTTTAGTTCAAAGGGCTAAAAACGAATCGAAATATTGTTTTTGAGCTCTGGAAATTCGGAAAAACAGCGTTCAATTCTCTACAAAAATATTTCAAAACTTTTTAAAATGAGTCGGGCAGACTCGCCAAAAAAGTTAAAAACCCAAAAATTTTGTATAATTTGAACTTTGACCTTAAATTTCTTTAGAAGGATCAAATTTACCAAAAATCATAAAACACCTTTTTTGTAGAGCGTTCAATTCTCTACAAAAATATGTCAAGAACTTTACAGTACGACCTATTGTTCGTTAGTTACAAAAATAAAAAGAAACAAAAATAATTTTTCCTGTTATTCTTATGGAAAATCGAAAAGTGCGATGCGGAGCATCTTAATTTTGAAATTAAGAGCTCATTTTTTCACAGGCTCATTTTTATATCTATACAAAACTTTTGAGCGTGGTTCCGAGAAAAAAAACAAAAAAAAGGTTTTTTTGATACACCCTAATATACATAATATAATATAATATATTATGATGTCATAATGCGTCACTTGGCGGAAAGTCCAGTCGTAAAGTCGGCAAACGTTGTAATCAAATGAATATTCCTTTGTTTAACTCAAATTTTAACCGATACATAGAAGTATACTTGGTGCACCCTGTATATAGAAATTCGGTTTTTTCGAGTTTACCCGCGGCTAAACTTGACAGCTGTTGTCACCAAAAATTGCAATTTATATTTTAATTGTTAACTGTTACTCATGAAATAGTCTTGTCAAATAGTATTTGACAAATACCATTCGGGCATCTAATTTTTCCTGTGAAAAAAATCGAAAAAACACAATGCCAAGTAATATTTTTTAACAAAATGCATTCGTGCAGGTGCAAAAATCCTCCTCTTCGACTCGGATTTTTGTTGCCACCAGCACTCATGCTTCTTGTTAAAATATTACTTAGCAACGTGTTTTTTCGATTTTTTTCGGAAAAATTAGATCCCCTTATGATATTACTTACGACAACTGTTTCGTCACACAGTGACGTTTTCAGAATGTATTTCAACTTATTATTGACAGATAAGCGATATATCCATGCTTAGCCTAAAAAAATATGTACCTATGCAATAAAATTGTCAAAGCGTTTTTTATTAAACTAAACTTATAAAAGGTAAAGGTCAATTACAAAACCTGAGTACAATTTCGCGAGCGCGGAATAGTCATACCCAAGGAATATTATTCATTTAATTACAGAACGACCAATGACTACCATGTACCATGTAATCGCCTTACTGTTTACTTTGTTCGACGAGAATTAAATAGGGAGTTTCTAAAATGACGCAAAATTTCAACAAAGGAATATTCATTTGTTTACAGGGTTTGTCGGCTTTACGACTATTGACTAGGCTTTCCGCGCATTATGCGCGATGACATACATATTTAATTTTATTTGAGATTTTCCGTGGGATATTTGTATTGTCCTAAATCATGCATTTGACACGTCTTTTTGGGTAATTTAAATATTGAAGAAAAGCTATTAAATAAATATTAGGGTGGCCCAAAAAAAAAATATTTTTTTTCGCTTGTGAAAATATGTTGGTTTGTCATGTTTTAAGAAGCCTGTCAAAAGATCAGCTGCATTAAAAAAAATTTTAGGGGTCGCTCAAGATTTTTAAAAATTTCCAAAACCGTCAAAATCAGATTTTTTTTTATTTTAATTTTTTTTCTCGTTCAGATTTTATTTTTAATTTGAAAATAATAATGATTCTGAAAATTTCAAATCGATATTTTAAAGGTCGCTCAAGATTTTTTTAACTTTCAAAGTAGAGTATTTTGAATGTTTTCGAGCGACCTCTGAATATAAATATCAACGAACTTTTAGCGACCTAGAAATCAAAATATTGATTTGAAATTTACATAATTTTTATTATTTTCAACCTAAAAAATAATATCGAGACGAGAAAAAAAATTAAAATAAAACAAAAATTAAGCGACCCCTAAAAAATTTTTAATCGTGCTGATATTTTGACAGGGCCCTTACAGCATGATAAACTAACATATTTTTACAAGAGACGAGAAAAAAAAATATTCTTTTTTTTGGGCCATCCTATATAATATATACATATATACATGGTTTAGTCCACATTTCAAAAATCTCCAAAATCAGCTCACCCAAAGGATGTAAATATAAATCTGAAAACCAGTATGTTTGTCTACAAAGCCAGTTTGCAAAACTTATAGGCTAGGTATCTGTTTTATATAAGAATAATGGACTTCTTAGAAAGTAGGAATATTTTATCTACTACCCAAAATGATGTGAGATGTGGTAAATCAAGAAACAGTGGCAGAAGTTTAAGATATTATACACTTTAGTTTAAGTACTAAAGAGCATGTAACATGCTGCATGTTGTTGGTCGGTTCTTTGATCATAGCAAATATTTGGACACGTTAAATCACTCCCTTTTCCAGGATAAATTCTTAAACTGTGGGGGTAGGGGCATAGCAAATAACTGGATCAAATCATATATATACCTGGTATACCTGGTGATAGTTGCAGATAATGAAATCAAATTACCACATGGATCAATCCTCCGATCATTATTATTTCTTGTTTTTATTAATGATGTTTTCAAGCTTTGTTCAAACAAGAATAAATTTGTTCTTTACGGTTATGATACCAACATTTAAATCATCGCAAACTGTTCAATTACACTGTAGGGAGGTGAAAATATCACAGCTAAAAGCTCGGACACGTAAACTTAATTTTTGGTCGTAGATTGCAAATCCGTGCTTGGTTTAGCTGTATCAGGTCAAAATTCAAAGATATTGGAAATACCCTGTATAAATTTAAACACCCTGTATAAATTTAAAACAAATTAAATTTGGATGGACCCACACATCTGTTAATTGATCAAAAGAAATACGTGTCCCCAAGGGTTTTTCTTAGATAATTTAGGAAATTTAAAATGTTTTTTCGCTGTTGAGTATAATTGAGGATATTATATTAAATGAAATAAAAAGAAAAGAATTATAATATACCGAGGGTTTAGCTGTGATATTTCAAAAGTTAAAAATTTACTTGCAGTGTTATTAGATGTGTGTTTTCTAGTAGCATGTAAGGTCAATAAATAGTGTAATAAAATGAATAATTTAAAATAAAAAAAACTTTCTAACTAAAAATGCTTCAAATGAAAAAACTAATCTATCAAAATATTCTATACCTGTGGCGTCTTGAAGTAAGTATTGATATTAAACTAACATGGGAATATCACATCACTGCAGTTTGTTTTTTAATTAGATCTTTGCGGGATACGGTATCAAAATCGGTACTTTGCTTACTATCCTTTGGGTTAGTTCAGTCCAGGTTAAAGTAAGATTTTGGAGCATGTCAGCTCATGCTCATAAAGTTTCCCTTTGCCAAAAATCAATTTTACGCTGTATGGAGAAAACAAATTCACGACAATCTTGGAAATTTGTATCAAATGGGACATTTACTTTTTTTGTGTATATATATACGAGCCCTAACCACATAATGTTCGGACACTTCATAATTTATACAGAAATTTTTTTCGTGAATACTATCTCAAAATTATTAGAAGTTATGAAAAATTCAGCTTATTTTGGCATATACCCTCGAAGCGATTTTTATTTTTAAAAAGTTTACCTTTTATTTTTAGCTTTTAAAAAAAGGCTAACTTTTTAACTTTTTTTTGCATGAGTAAAAAAAGTTATAAATAGGCCCATTAAAAAGAACATAAAATATTATACAAACCCTGAAAATTTGGTAAAAATTGTATAAATAATAAGAAAGTTATAGCGATATATATATCTGCAAAATCTCCCGTTTCCTAAGAAAATTGCAAAAACTCTTTAAAAATAGCATTTTTAAATTACTTATACTTTTTTATAACTTATTTATTTTTTACCAAATTTTCAGGGTTTGTATAATATTTTATGCTCTTTTTAATGGGTCCATTTATAACTTTTTTTACTCATACAAAAAAAAGTTAAAAAGTTAGCCTTTTTTTAAAAGCTAAAAATAAAAGGTAAACTTTTTAAAAATAAAAATCGCTTCGAGGGGTATATGCCAAAATAAGCTGAATTTTTCATAACTTCTAATAATTTTGAGATAGTATTCACGAAAAAAATTTCTGTATAAATTATGAAGTGTCCGAACATTATGTGGTTAGGGCTCGTATAATATATATATATATATATATATATATATATATATATATATATATGCATTTGTATCGTTTCTGCCTCCGTACAAATGTGGGGCGTCCACACCTCCACTAGAAGGGGTAAAATATTCCGAGTATATAAAAGACTTTCAGGAGGACAACACGCCACAAGTTAAGGGCAAAGTGGGGGGGGGGTAAAAAAATCAACTGTCTATTTTATACAAAATTAAAAATATATTTAGTACGTTTACAACTCCTTATATAAATAGTACGCAATCAACTCATTGTATATAAATGTGT